TCATTATAAGTACAATTAAAATATTCTCTTTATCAATTTCAATAATTTATTTCAATAACAATGCTTAATTTATTTCCACTCTAATAATGTCGAGTGTTATTCAATATTTTCTTCCATTTTAAAGTATCCATTCCAATTTTGATTGTTCGCTAATAACGCGTAATTGAATTCAATAGAAAAATGAATAACTCTATTAAAGTCATTTCGAGTAATTATTTGGACCATCTGAAATAGAAATAAAGAGAAAGTATTGTATTATGCAGGCTATACTTATCGTTGGTCGATAATTAATCACGCTACTGTAACTAGTATCATAGTAAGAACATTACAACAATAATAGAAGAAAATTACAACAACCATAAAATTACAACAATATTACTTCGAATTCTGAAAGTATTATGTCAATTTTTCTATCTTTGCACAAATACAGCGAACAGCTGCGTAAACGTACTTTAGGGACGTTGTAGATTTTTATTGACTTTGATAAATTAAAAGCGGGAAAGAAGAGTGTCAACCACTCATCCGCGAAATCTTTAATCTGTACAACCGCAAAGACATTTCTCATTTCTGGTGCAGGCCCTATCGGTCTTCTGGTTATCTCCCCGTTTACGCTGTGAAGGAAGTACGACGGAAGCGTCAGGACGGTTCCTCTTTGACAGTTCTCGCTGTAAGATAAGATTCATCCGAAAGACAACCCTTGAAGGAGCGAAACCGAGTTTCTCCCGATAGATTTCTTTCGTTTCGCGAAATCCGTTGTATTTTCGGCTCGTTACGTGCCCGACTCTCGTCATTCCATTTCAGATCTATACACAGATAAAAATTGTTGTATACATATTTAAATGGATCGATATTCGATAGACTTTTTAATGATCCTTAGCAAAATGAAAATAGAATATTGCATTCGATTTTAATGACACCATTAATCGATTGAATTTTATAGGTTTTTATTTGTTGAAGCGCTACGTCTGAAAACGTACCATATTAATTAATTAAATCTTGTATTGGAAAAAATCTTTGAACTGTACAAGGATGAATTAAATATGCTCCAATTGTCATCAATATTTGAAAATATGTAGTAGATTATTTTGCTTTCATGGATAAATTTAGTGTTCCATTCTATGCTTTAAATGTTATTAATATTCTTCGAAAATCTGCACTGTATTATTGTGCTTCATGGACAATAAATTAAATGTTTAATTCTATCCTTTAATTATCATCAATATTCTTCGGAAACGTATATTGTATTATTCTGCTTCGAAGCTATAAATGTGATTCATAGAGGAAATTAATACTTTCCGTATAACGAGCATCTAATTCAACGTATAATTCAATGAATATAAAAATTTATCATTTGCAATTTTACATCAAAGGATACATCGAAATAACAATAACGAAATATACTAATCTGCGGATCTTTATGCAAAATAAAGAGTGTCTGCACTAATTGCAAAACACAGAAGCTGCATAGATATTTATTTCGCTCCTCGATCGTTTTAACGAATTGAGAATAACGTAACAATGCTTGTAAATTGTTTAAATATTTCCGCAGCTTTTTATTCGATTTATTCAGTTTTGTCATAATTACGTAAAATTCGCAATCTACTTACAACCGAATTCACTGCAAAATCACTGGATAATACAATGAAGTAGAATTTCACAGTTCCATTAATTGTTTAATTAATCAAAAGCAGAAAGAGCCGAAGGATTTTCGACACAGAGACAAATAAATTTAAATATTTTGGCGTAATCGATGCAAAGGATTCAATACAATTTGGCACCTCTAATTTCACGTCACTGACACAACTTGCTTTAACATCGAAGAAATATAAACTGTAATTGAATTACTATCAAACGAAAGGATCGTTCACGAGGAAATTCTTTTCCGA